GCCTGACCCAAACCCAGCCCGGGAAAAGCCGAGCCTGACCCAAACCCAGCCCGGGAAAAGCCGATCCTGACCCAAACCCGGCCCGGAAAAAGCCGAGACCGTCCCAAACCCAGCCCGGGACAGCCCCGCGGGCACCGGGAAAGGTCGGGCCTGACCCAAACCCGGCCCGGGCCGGTCCGAGCCTGACCCAAACCCGGCCCGGGACAGCCCCACGGGCACCGGGAAAGGCCGGGCCTGACCCAAACCTGGCCCGGGGAACCCGCGGGTACCGGGCAGAGCCCCAAATCCAGCTCATGGCACCCGCAGGCATCGGACAGTGTCGAGACTGACCCAAAGCCAGCCCTGGGCACCCGCGGGCACCGGGAAAGTCCGAGATTAACCCAAACCCGGCCCGGGACAGCCCCGCGGGCACCGGGCAGGGCTGAGCCTGGACCAAAGCCAAGCCCTGGGCACCTGCGGGCACCGGGAAAGGCCAAGCCTGACCCAAACCCAGCCCGGGCTGGGCCGAGCCTGACCCAAACCCAGTCCGGACCCAAACCCAGCCCGGGCTGGGCCAAGCCTGACCCAAACCCAGCCCGGGAAAGGCCGAGCTTGACCCAAACCCAGCCCGGGACAGCCCCGCGGGCACCGGGAAAGGTCGGGCCTGACCCAAACCCGGCCCGGGACAGCCCCGGGCACCGGGAAAGGCTGATCCTGACCCAAACCCAGCCCGGGCCGGTCCGAGCCCGTCCCAAACCCAGCCCGGGAAAGGCTGATCCTGACCCAAACCCAGCCCGGGCTGGGCCGAGCCTGACCCAAACCCAGCCTGGGAAAAGCCGAGCCTGACCCAAACCCAGCCCGGGAAAGGCCGGGCCTGACCCAAACCCGGCCCGGGAAAGGCTGATCCTGACCCAAACCCGGCCCGGGCAGGGCTGAGCCCGTCCTAAACCCAGCCCGGGAAAGGCCGAGCCCGTCCCAAACCTGGGCCGATCCTGACCCAAACCCGGCCCGGGAAAGGCCGAGCCCGTCCTAAACCCACTCCGGCCCAGCCCCGCCGTTCCCATTCCCCGCTCCCGGCGCTCTCCGGGTCTGGAGCCG